GTATGCATTCTATGGAATACTCAGCAACAAAAAGTAATAAACTACTGATACACACAACTTGGATGAACCTTGAGGAAATTATGCTGAGTGGAGAAAACCAACTATAAAAGGACACATAGTGCAAGAATTCATTCATATAACATTTGTGAAATAATGTAATTATAGAGATGGAGAACAGATTAGTGGTTGTCAGAGATTAGAGATGGAGGAGATGAAACAGTGTGGCTATAAAGTTGTAACATGAGGTAGTTTTGTGGTGATGATACCTTTAAGTATTTTGATGGTGGTGACAGTTATGCAAAGCTACACATGTGATAAAACTGCATAGAGCTATGCACACATGCAATAACTGAAATCTGAGAAAGCTCTATGGATTGTACTGACATCAATTTTCTGGTCCCAATATTGCACCTGGTTTTGTAAGATGTTAACACTGAGGAAGCGTTGGTGTAGGGTACACAGGACCTCCCTGTATATTTCTTGGTACCTTCCTGTAAATCTATAGTTATTTCAAAGTAAAAAGTTTAATTACAAAAAAAGATATATAACTAATCTCCCATCATACCGCCTTTTCTAACTTTCACTAAAATGCCCATGAAGACAGAGAATAAAGATGAAGATTTACACCAACGAATCATCTGAGTATGTCCTAATCTCTCCTAACTATAAGACAAAAAAGTGTACACAGATTTTTCCTCCAGATTTCCCCAGATTTTGCTTAAGGTAAAAGAAATCAAGAAACAGGAGGAGGAGGGAGAAAAGGAAAAAGAGGAGGATAAAGAGAAGAAGCAGGAAGAGGAGGTGAGAGAGGGAACAAAAGAAAGAGAGTCAGGGGTGATGTCATGCCTATAGTCCTAGCTACTCAGGAGGCTGAGGCAAGAAGATCCTGTGAGCCCAGGAGGTCAAGGCTTCAGTGAGCTATGACCGCACCACTGCATTCCAACCTCAGAAACAGAGTGAGACCATGTCTCAAGAAAAAAAAAAAAAAAAAAAAAGAGGAGAGAAGACAAAACCACTTCATACCTGCCCACCGTCTGATGGCTAACTCAAAGATGAAGAACTTGTGCCAACAAGAAAGCGTTGCAGTAATTCCTCCATCTTCCATTAGCGATCTGAAAGACAGTAATGTTCTGTACTGTACCCTTTCCCTGATATCTTTATTTATCAGAGCAGAGATGCCAAATCCCAGAAAACAGTTGAGCAGGAAATAGAGAAGGAAATAAGCCTACGTAAAATTCTGAAAATTAATTTTCTTGCAGATAAACCAATATATGTGGATTAGAGATAAAAATAACCCTGGTAGCAGTATGCACAAGGATTTTACACACATATTTTTGGTTTTATTTTATTTTATTTTAGACAGAGTTGCTCTGTCACCCAGGCTGGAGTGCAATAGTGCGATCTCGGCTCACTACAACCTCTGCCTCCTGGGTTCAAGTGATTCTCCCGCCTCAGCCTCCCAAGTAGCTGAGACCACAGGTGCGTGCCCCCACACCCGGCTAATTTTTGTATTTTTTTAGTAGAGACAGGGTTTCGCCATGTTGGTCAGACTAGTTTCAAAATCCTGACCTCAGGTGATCCACCCACCTCGGCCTCCCAAAGTGCTGGGATTACAGGCGTGAGCCACCGCACCCAGCCTACACACACACTTTATGTTGACAAATTCTTTCTTTACTGGGACATTAGAAAATTACATGTCAAAGAATGCTTAAAGATATCCATTTATAGAATTTAACAGAGGCTATATAGCTTGCAAATATGAAGGACAAAATAAAGAAAATGGTACATAAAGCGAAACTAAATCATTGAATAACAAGAACGTATTTTTAAAGAGAGAACACTGAAATAACAGAATGATGAAAGAAATCAATTGTAACAACAAATATAAATAGACGAAGCCTCTGCATTAAGACAAAGATTCACATAATGGAAAATAATAATAATAGATCCTACATCATTTTTTGTTTCATTTTGGTTTAGGTGTTTTCCTTACAAATAAATTAAAACATTTTTAAAGATTTGCAACATTATTGTCAAATAAGAAGTAAAATGTAAAAACAAATAGCATGAAATGAAACAAAGAATTTATTCCACATTGTTAAAGATCCAATAAAGATATAAATACCATAAACCACTATGCACCAAATGAAAGACCAACAAAATATTATAAAGCAAAAACTATTACAACCACAATGAATAATAAAAACATACAAAGAGTGAAAATTTTTAACTGATTAGATGGAATAACTTAGATTCACTTAGAAAATTGGTGACATACTTAGCTGAATAGTTTCACAAGGAGGCGTACAAGACAGATCAGCCTTTAGACTAGTTTGGTCCTACTACAGAGGCATTGTCCTTCTGAGTATTCTCCTCAACACCTCATATAGTATAAGATTTCTCCCCCTCAGATGACAAAAACTTGAGAAATTTCTTGGTCTACGTGAACATCAGGAATTTTTCCACCTGCTTCTTTCCGGTAGTTCTTTCCCTTGCCTCAGATGGGTTCCCCAAACGCATGCTCTGAAAACTCAAGGGAGACTCTCTGGAGGTAGCCGGAGCTCTTTCTCTGTGCCAATACTCTTTTTTCTAGCTCTTTGTGAATTCTGTCCACTTTGATTTTCCCCAAATTCTCAACAAACTCTGTCTTCTCAATTGAGTGAGACTTGTAGCTTGGAATCTGTCTCTAGGGAATCAGTGGGGAAACCATAGGGTTTACTTCCTTTGTTTATCTTCTTTGAAAAATTACTGTTTATGGTCCGTGTTGTCCTATGTTTGAGAACCATCCTTTATAAATTTTGTCTGTACTTTTTTTAAGTAAGAGGGTAAATCTGTCCCTGTTGCTCCATCAGAGCCCGGAACAGAAATCCATTAAAAATAATTTTAACTTTAAAAAAGAATGAAAAATATAAAATAAAATACATGACCATGGAAAAATGAAAAGTGAGCTGGCAGAATTCACAGGAGGAATTAAAGATTTTAAATAAATAATTAGGAAAAGAAAAGCCACCTTTAAAACCACAAAATCATGAATGGTACAATAATATGAAGGTCAAGATTTATAAAAATCCTATTAAAAATAAAAATAGAAAATGACAAAAAGAGAAATTAGAAAGGAGATAATACAGAAACATGACACAGTAGCTCAATATATGCATAATAGGTATTGCTAAATTTACAGAATTAATAAACAGCAGATTATTTGAAATTATAAAAAAAGAAAACCTTGTTAAAATAAGTGAAAATTTGAATTTGCTGATTAAATATGCACAATACCTCCTAGGTAAATAATTATGCTGAACAATCAACAGAAAGATGTATCTGAGAGCAGGATAACAATAATGAAAGTAATAACAATAATTTCACTAAACAGATATAACTTTTGGGCCAAAATATACTACTAATAAAATAAAGTCATCTACTCAGCCTGAGAGAAAAACAATGGGTTTAATCTGACCTCCTACTTTTACCATAAAAACATTTAATGGTAGAGGAAAGTAGAGGAATATTTAGAAAATCCTAAAGAGAAGGAGAAAAGATTGAGCCAAAAATACAATGCCCAATCCATTCGTTTTATGTCTATGGTAACAAAAAGGCTTTCTTAATTTTGAACAGATTTGGGGAAATAATGAAGCTTTAATGGGTTGTTCTTTGAAAACAAACAAACAAAAAAAAAAACACCTAATAAAAAATCTACTCAAGAAGGATTAAATCAAGAGAAAAAAATTCAAGGAAGAAAAATTCATGTTTGTAAAGTACTGGTAGTAACTAACTATTGGGTACTGTGTTCAGGACCTGGATGACAGGATCTTTCACACCCCAGATCTCAGCATCACACAATATACCCAGGTAACAAACCTGCACATGTACCTCTGAGTCTAAAATAAAAGTTGAAAAAAAAAAGAGAAAACTAGCTTTATTTTTAACGGTTGGCTTTGATATAACAGTGGTGTGTAACTCTGTACAAACATTGAAGGAGAACAGAAAACTTATGAATTTTGATTATAGGAACTGTGGAATATTCTATATATATCTGAAACGTATAGTTACTTGTTTTAGGATATCCATAATAAAACTCTTTCATGTGGTTTTCTGGGTCATTGTTTTCAGGAATAAGCTTGGTGTATAATATTGAATGCTCTTGGAAGTTGGATCTGCATATTTTCCCTTTTATCTCTGTAAATTAAACAATATTAGGAACTATCTTCTATAAAACAGAAATTTAACAAATGTGTTAATGACTATCTATAAAGATAATATGCTTTTAAAAATGTACTGGTAGTGAACAATGAAAAATTAAAATATATAAAATAAGTTATATTTACTGTTGTACAACAAAATAAAAGTTTATAGACCTTGGCAATGTAACAGATATTTATTTTAAAAGGTGTTTGTTGGTAAAAAGTTTGCATTTGCTAATATCCTTATCTTTAGAAGAAAGGTCAAAGGCTACTGTTTTAGTCCGTTCTCACACTGCTATAAACATACTATCCAAGACTGGGTAACTTATAAAGAAAAGAGGTTTAATTCATTGGGCACATGTACCCTAGAACTTAAAGTATAATTAAAAAAAAAAAAAAAAAAAGAGGTTTAATTGACTCACAGTCAAGGACCTTCTTTACCTGGTGGCAGGAGAGATAAGTGAGGATGCAGGAAAAACTGCCATTTATAAAACCATCAGATCTCATGAGAATTCACTCACTGTCACAAGAACAGCATGGGGGAAACTGCCTCCATAATTCAACCACCTCCCTCCCTTGACATGTGGGAATTACAATTGGTGATAAGATTTGAGTGGAGACACAGAGCCAAACTATATCAGCTACTGAAAAAAGTTGATAAATTAAAAAAAAAAAAAAAACAAACCTGAAGATAAGCCACAGACTAAGAGACAATATTTGCAAAAGACCTATCTGATAAAGGATTGTGATTCAAAATACACAAAGAACCCTTAAAATTCAATAAGAAAATAAGCCACCCGACTGAAAAATAGGCCCCAAAGACTTACCAGGCAGGTAGATACCATGACCACAAGGGTAGTTTTTCCTAGGGCAAGGCTTCTCTAGTCCACTGAAGACTTGCTTATCCCTGTGATTTCTGCAAATGTGGGAAACTCAGCTGCGTAATTTGTGGTAGTAGCATACTGCAGTCATGCTTTTCCCTGGTAAATAAAAGGAAAAAAAATGAGCCAACAACCTGAACAGACACCTCACCAAAGAAGATATACAGATGGCAACTGAGCATATGAAAAGTGCCCCACATATATGTCATTAAGGAACTGCAAATTAAAACAATGAGATCCAACTGCCTGCCCATTAGAATGGCCAAAATCCAAAACACTGATAATGCTACTGCTGTTGAGGATGTGGAAAAAGAACTCTTATTTATTGCTGGTGGGAATGCTGTAAATAATATTACAAAGACATACGTACCTGTATGTTCACTGCAGCACTATTTATAATAGCAAAGACATAGAATCAATCTAGGTGCCCATCAATGATGGATTGGATTTTTTAAAACATGGTACACATACACTATGGAATACTATGCAACTATGAAAAAGAACAAAATCATCTCCTTTGCAGCAACATGGATGCAGCTGGAGGCCATTATCCTAAACAAATTAACATAGGAACTGAAAACCAAATACCACATGTTCTCACTTTTAAATGGGAACTAACCATTGGCTGCCCATGGATAAAGATGGCAACAATAGACAGTGGGGAATACAAGAGGAGGGAGGGAGGGAAAGGGGCAAGGGCAAAGTCGAAATTTTTTTAAAAATTTTTTAAAAAGGATATTTTTTGGTTCATGGAGTCCAGGGGTGGATCTAGCTTCAATCAGTGCTAACTCAGTGGCTCAAATGATGTCCTGAGAACCTGGTCTTTCTCTGTCTCTTTGCTCTGCTCTCTTAAAACACAGATTCCTAGGACCTAGCTGAGACATAATGAATCAGAATCCCTAGAAGTTAGACTCCAGAATCTTTATTTAAAATAAAACAAAATAAAAAACCCTTCCCAGAAGAATGTCATACAGCTCTTATTGGTTATATGTTTTATCCACGTATAGCAAGCTAGTTACAAGCTTCTTGCAGGCATAAACAACTTCTTTAGCATCCTAATCATATCTAAGATTGTATAAAGTGGACATAAAACAGGTACTCTGAAAAGTCTGGTAGATCTGGGAATGCTGGAAGCCTCATTCATGTTGGCATCAAAAGGTATTTGAAAAAAAATTCTGATAAGCTTTGGAAAAATCTGGGCTATTGAAAATTGGATTTAAAGTTTTTTAAAAAAACAACTATACCCAAAGGGTATTAGTGAATAAACTAGAGTTGATGAAAAGAAGAGTCTCACACAGTATTTCAAAGAACTCCATTCTTGGCCCCACATTGTTCAAAATTCTTTTGAACCTGGATAAAAATATAAATAATAAATATCATATCTGCATCTGACAAAACCAGGAGATGGCACATGATAAAAATGTATTTCATAATGTTCTTGAATAGCATGGCCACCCAAACATTAGTTCAATTTTAGTATTGTTCCAGTATCCACGTTATAAATATTTTTTGTATCTCTAGTGTTGGCGCCATTTTTCCCCTGGGCATCAACATTTTGGCTGCCAGCTTGTCTGGACTTACATCTTTACAACTCGAAATCTGGTGGGAAGAAAAGCTTTTCTTTTCCAACAACTGGAAAAAAAATTTCTGGCCTAATCTTTTTTAACAGAACAGGATAACATACTTGTGAAATACCATTCACAGGGGCCAAGGGGACGGGGTGCTGATTGGCCAAGCCTGAGCTCCACAGTCACCACTTGGGAGCTAGCGGTGGTGTCAGCCACACCTGAGACACACATAGGCTAAGAATGGCAGCTGGGGTGGGAGGGTGCGGCTGTCCCCAAGAAAACTTGCACTAGAAAGCGGACTGGCTGCCGAGCAGCTAAATGATGGATTCAATAAGCCAGGGTCCCTGCTCTCCAGGAGCTTATGTGCCACTCAGGAAGATGTTTATGTGAACAGATACTTTCAGTATAAGGTGGCAAATGTTGGAATAAAGGTTTACAGGGTAGAGAGGCATGTAAATTCAGGCTAGGGGTCAAGATTGTGTCTATGGAAGGTTCCAGGGAGAGACGAAGTCTGAGTCTAGAAAGATTCCTAAGTTTTTATGGGTAGAGAAGTTGAGAATGATCTAAGGATGTTTCCAGGCAGTTTAACTATAAGATTTGACCCTGTTGAAGTTGGGAATCATGTCTTATCTTTGTCACTCTGGAATGCAACACAGTGCCTGGCACGTAGTGGACACTCAGTAAATGTTTATAAATGTATTAATATTCCTTCATTAGTCCTCAACAAAAATCCCGTGGGGGATTTATAAGATGGGTATTTAACCTCATTATCCACAGAAGGAAATTGAGATAGAGAGATTAGGTCATTAAAATCACGGTGCTTGCCAATTATGGTGCCAAGATAACCCCCACAGAGACAGGGATGTATGCAGGTCAATCCAAACCAAAATCTAGTCATGAAGAAGGCCATAAATTCTAGCTTTATGTTATTAAAGCAGCAAAATGAGAAACAAAGTAAAGTCAAAGTCTTACTGTGGTTAGCAGTTCTTCTCACAAAGCCCAAAACACCAGATTTTCTTCTAATGATTTCAGATGTCAAGTGGTAAAAACTGATTTTACAATGTTCTTGAGTAAATAAGTACTGGGGAAAAAAATGAGGAGGAAACATGTTTGTTTGGGTAAATTGCTAAGCAACACCACACATGCCAGAAACTCCTTTTGGATTTCCTTTCGAGGTGGAGACCGCGAAACCAACGGGTACTTCAGTTCGTGTCTGTTTCATTAGTTCACACTGGAAAATAAAAGCCAAACAGGCAATTCTAATAATACAAGAGTCAGAGGTGTGGAGGCCACTAATATTAAATTAGACTGAAGTGCTTAAGGTTGCCTTTTAAAACGGCCCATTCCAGAGTCCACGGTGGCACTAAGACTGAGGTAGGATTTGTGCAGCGTGTCCAGGAAGATCTAGCACACTGATGAAGAAAAAAAAAAGAAAACAGCAGCCAGGCCATGTTATCTATCCCACTTGATAGTTCCAGACCCTGCAGACGATGGAAGTTTGTAATGTGACAACAGGATTGTGGCAATGAGATGAAAAAAAACTTGGTGCATGTCACTTATTTAATAATGGAAAACTTCTTATGAGAAGTAATGTCTTCAGATGGATATTAAAGGAAGGAATTCTGTGGGTAGGGAGATAAATTTACAGCCTCAGGGCCTGCTTGAGCAAAAGCTGGGCACTCTAAAGGGGAGAAACAAATTAACATAAAAGCACAAAAGGGAACCTTAGTAAGCCAGAAGGAATGAATAAGTATTTGAACAGGAAATCCATGAGATGGCTGGTGCTGGGTTTATGAAACTTAAGATTGAAATTAATATTGAAACTCCAAAATGTAAGATTCAGGGTGCAATGAACCAAATGCTATTTAAGTGGTATTATACACAAATTGCTGTGAATTTTTAATGATTACATTTCTTGCAATAATTTGTAAAGAAAATTTTGGGTAAGCACACATATAACTCTGAATTATGTATGTGCAGACACATTTCCAATCAATTTGAATTCTTTTAAGGGTGAGGATATAGTTTTAGGAAGAAGATTCCAGATTTTGTTTTAAATAGGAACTGACACTGTAGAAAGAAAAAAAAAGGCCTATTTATGATATCATTAACTATAGATAGTCTGTATTCCTTAACATGCATCTGAGGCTTCCCATGATCTGGCCCTACCTACCTTCCCTACCCATGCCAGCCTGGGCAATCTCTCTTCTGAATCCCCTCAAACCCTGTAAAATATAAGCTCACCTCTATTAGAGCTCGGCTTTTCCCCTATTTAATGAATTGCCATCTCTCCTAGTATTGTGCCTGGCATATAGTAGGTGCTTAGTAAGTATTTATCATGGAAGCCTCTAGGATGGGCATGGAGCCCTCACAGCCTCACAGAAACTCACAGCCTAGCTGGAACAAAGATAACCACAAAAACAATTATAATAGATGAAAACAGTTATCATAATTAAGATATAAGAGCTAAGACTAGTTCTAACACTATTAGCACGTACATGTCAGACGGTGTTGTTCCACATGCTATGGTCTGGGTGTTTGTGTTCCCCCATAATTCATACATTGAAATCCTAATCTTCGAAGTGATGGTATAAGGAGGTAGGACCTCTGAGAGGTGATTACATCATGGGGGTGGAGCCCTCACAAATGGGATTAGTGCCCTTAGAGAAGAAGTTCAAGGGAGCTCTTTTGCCCCTTCTACCATAAGACACGCCTAGGAGGTGCAGCCTGTGAACCAGAAAGTGGACCCTCACCAGACAACAAATCAGCTGGTAGCATGATCTTGGACCATCCAGCTTCCAGAACTGTGAGAAATAAAGGTTCACTGTTTATAAGCCACCCAGTATATGGTATTTTTTATAGCAGCCCGAATGGACTAAAACATATGTATTAATTCACCTAATCCTCACAACAACCCTATGAGGTAGGCATTATCATTATCCTCATTTTTGGACACACAAGGCGATGAAGTGACTTGCCCAAGGTCACATAGCTAGGAAGTAGGGAGCAAAATCGGAATCCAGGCAGTCTGGTTCCAGGGTCCTTACCACGAATTAGTGACTGCAGGCACAAGCACAGAGTAAGTGTGACTCAAAGACCACTGAAGTTTCTTCTAAGTCTGGGATTCCAGATGATTGCTTCACTAGTGCTAACAGTGAAGTATAGAAATATGGGGGAAATATTTATGAAACCTCTTCCATTTGGAACACACTGGTGCTGCTCAAACTTCGGATGCCTGATATTCCCCTGTGAAGATTCAGAATTTCAGGACTGGAATCCGGAAGATTCTGAGTCAATAAGGTTGGAACAGGGACCCAGTATCTATATTTTTAGCAAGTGCTCCAAGTGATGCTGGAGATCTTCTGATCACAGTTTGAAAACACTGTACTAGGCCTATTCTCCAGAGGACCCTTTGGCTCAGATTCTGCATTCTCTTTCCAGGCCTGGCTCTCCTCTATTGGAATGTGTCTGTAATAATCCTTTGACTCCGCAGTGCTGGTGGTGCTATTCAGGGCATCTTCAGCTTTAGAAGTT